TCAGTCTGGCAAGGATTGGGGTAATCGGGGAGCGGAGTTTGGTGCGGGTGAGAAAGTGGGCGGCAGAATTCTGGATGACCTGGATTTTATGAATAGTAATGGAGGGGAGACCGGTAAGGAGGGCATTTGAATAGTCCAGCCGAGAGGTGACAAAGGTATGGACCAGGGATTTAGCGGCTTTTGGGGTGAGATATTGGTGGAGACGGGCGATGCGTCGGAGGTGGAAGAAAGCGGTGCTGGTGTGGGGAAGGGTTTGGAGAGTTTTAGGGGAAGGTCGGGTAGGTGGAGGAGGTGGGAACCGTGCCATTTAAGACATTGATGAGAGCCAAAGAGTATGGCTTCTGTCTTGTCAACATTCAGCTGAAGGAAATTCGCGCTCATCCAGCTCTTGAGGTCTGACAGGCAGCTGACAGAACATCAGGGGACTGGGGGTCGCAAAGTGAGGTGGAAAAATAGAGTTGGGTGTCGTCCGCATACATGTGGAAGTGTATTCCATCTCTGCAGATGACATTCCCAAGAGGGAGCATATAGATTAGGGAGAGGGCCAAGAATGGTTCCTTGGGGTAACCCTCAGGTAACCGAGTGAGAGCGGGAGGAAAAGCCGTTTGTGCAGATGTACTGCTGGAAGTTCGTGAGGTAGGACTCAAACCAGGAGAGTGCGGTCACACTGAGATGGATGGCGGAGGAAAGGTGGTGGAGGAGGATGTTGTGATCAACTGTGTCAAAGGCAGCAGAGAGGTCCAGGAGGACAAGGAGGCAGAGGGAGCCCTGGTCACAGACAGAGAGGATGTCATTTAAGACTTTCACAAGTGCAGTCTCTGTACTATGGACAGGGCAGAAACTGGCCGGGAGAGGTTCGAAAAGGGAGTGGGAGGAGAGGTGTGCGCGGAGTTGATTGGCAACAATGCATTCTAGGACTTTCTAGGCAGAGAAGGGCAATTTGAAATAGGGCGGTAGTGGCTGGGGTTTGAGGGATCCAGGGAAGGTTTTTTGAGGAGGGGGATGATGACAGCAGTTTTGAGGGTGGCAGGGACTGAGTTTTTTCCTTCAAGATGATGTTGGAGAAGAAGGCAATTTTTGCACATGTCAAAGAACGGCGTTATCTGTGGAGATGCTCGAGCCACAGTTGGCGGTGAACTATCAGGGCAGTTTTCTGATATCTGCATTCGAGCAGCCGGGATTGGNTTTTTAGGGAGTGGAGATGATGGTTATACCGGGGGATCGAGTGGGTTTGGTGATGGTCCTGGATTTCAGGGGGATGGGATAGTTGAAGGTGAAGGAGATGATTATAGAGCAGCTGGACGGCTGATTCAGGATCTCTGCGGGTGGAAGGCCAGAGGGATAGGATATCGGAGGATGTGAGGGGCTTTGTGATGATCTCAGGGCGTAGCCTTTTCCACGGGTGGTAGAGTATGGTTGACGGCCTGGTGGAGGAGAGAGGAATGTGAGAGGAGTAGGAGATGAGGAAGTGGTCCGAGATGGCCTTATCCATTATGCTCAGGCTGGAAATGTCAAGGCTGTGGGTGATGGCGAGGTCGAGGGCATGGCCACGGTTGTGGGTCGGTGAACTTATGTGAATGGTGAGGTTTAGGGAGGAGAGGAGGGCAGTGAAGTCAGAAGATGTGGTGCACGGGGAGTTTAGGTGGAGGTTGAAATCACGCATTATGAGCAGGCGTTCGGAGCAGAGGGACAGGGAAGAGGGGAGAGGAGAGATGTCAGAGAGGAAGGAGCCAGGGGGCTTAGGGGGGTGGTAGACCAGAAAGATTTTCAGTGGGAGAGAGGGATGGAAGAGGGTGAGGTGCTCAAAAGAGGGGAAGCAGCCAATGGAATTTGGGGAAAGACCAAGGGAAGCTTTGGAGATGAGGGCCACCCCACTGCCACGTTGGCTTGGACGGGAGTTGTGGTGGAAGGTGTAGACTGGAGGTGTCACTTCGACGAGGGGGACGGGGTCATTGGGGGAGAGCCAGGTTTCTGTGAGCCCAAGAATGTTGAGGTGCTCATCCAGGATGAGGTCATGGATGGTGAGGGGTTTGTTTGTGAGGGAACGGACATTTTGAAGGGAAATGCGGTGGGTTTGCTGGTGGGAGAAGAGGGAGGAGAGGGTGATATGGAGAGGATTTAAGGATATACAGGAGAGATGGCTGTGAAGTGTGGGGGGAGTGGAGAGTTTGGGAGGGTACGCATGAGGGAGGGGGAAGTTGTGTTTGCCTTAAGGAGACGTTTGTGCGGAGGGAGTGAATGATGGAGTCACGATGGGCCCAGCGGAGGCTGCCCAGGCTGGAGCAGAGGGAAGTGGTGATGGGGTCCAGGAGAGAGAGGTTGGGGAAGGGGCGGTGGGAGAGTCGTACAGAGTGGGAGTAGGGATAGAGGGGTTGGGAGGAGAGACATTTAGAGTGGAGGGAGAGGCTCGGGTCGGGGCGGCAGCCAAAACGCGCACAGAGACCGGGAGCGAGCGATCAGTGGGACGGCATCAGCCCACAGGCTGTGTGGTCACGGCTAAGATGTCAGTGACAGGGGCGGCCACGACATTTTCTCCTGAACCACTTTCACTGTGGATTAGTTTCTTTTAGCTTTTCTAAGTGTTAGTGTTGGTGTTCAGTGCTGTTAGTGTTAGTGTTGGTGTCAGTGCTGTTAGTGTTAGTGTTGGTGTCAGTGCTGTTAGTGTTAGTGTTGGTGTCAGTGCTGTTAGTGTTAGTGTTGGTGTTCAGTGCTGTTAGTGTTGTGTTGGTGTCAGTGCTGTTAGTGTTAGTGTTTTGTTGTGTTTAGTGCTGTTAGTGTTAGTGTTGGTGTCAGTGCTGTTAGTGTTAGTGTTGGTGTCAGTGCTGTTAGTGTTAGTGTTGGTGTCAGTGCTGTTAGTGTTAGTGTTGGTGTCAGTGCTGTTAGTGTTAGTGTTGGTGTCAGTGCTGTTAGTGTTAGTGTTGGTGTCAGTGCTGTTAGTGTTAGTGTTGGTGTCAGTGCTGTTAGTGTTAGTGTTGGTGTCAGTGCTGTTAGTGTTAGTGTTGGTGTCAGTGCTGTTAGTGTTAGTGTTGGTGTCAGTGCTGTTAGTGTTAGTGTTGGTGTCAGTGCTGTTAGTGTTAGTGTTGGTGTCAGTGCTGTTAGTGTTAGTGTTAGTGTTGGTGTCAGTGCTGTTAGTGTTAGTGTTGGTGTCAGTGCTGTTAGTGTTGGTGATTCTGTGTTAGTTTTGATTGTTTAATTATGATGTGAAGCCGACGTCACTTTTTGTAACTCTGCGGTTCCCCTGTGACCCCCTCACGTCGCGGCTTTATACCCACTGCTCGGCCTCGGCTCCGCCCCGCGCTCTCCTGACTCCACTCCACACCCTCACATCCCCCACAAACACAATCACATCCCCCGACAGACACACCCTCAGCCCCCAACACACACGCTGACACACCGCCCCACACACTCTCACATCCCCCCACACATAAACACTCACATCCCCCCAACACAGTCTCACATCACCGCAACACACACCCTCACATCCCCTCCACGCACACCATCACATTCCCCACCACATACCCACTCATATCCCCCGCCCACACATACACACCCTCACATCCCCCTCACAGCCCCCCCACACATAGACACCCTCACATCCCCCACACACGCACCCTCACAGCCCCCCCACATACGCACGCCCTCACATCACTCTCTCACACACAACCTCTTCACATAACATCTCATCCCCCCAAACATACACCCTCACATCCCCACCGCACCTCCACCCTCACATTCTCTGACCACATACATCCTCACATCCCCCCCCAACACATACCCACTCATATCCCCCGCCCACACACACACACCCTCACATCCCCCCACAGACACACACTCTGCCCCACAAACACACACCCTTGCATCCCCCTCACACACACCGTTACATCTCCCCACATGCACCCTCACATCCCCCCATAAACACTCTCACATCCTCCCCACACACCCACACCTCCCTCACACACCCCCCACCACATACACACCCTCATACCGCCCCCAGATACACACCGTCACATCCACCCCCAAACACACCATCACATCCCCCCAACACAGACTCACACCAACCCCCAAACGCACAACCTCACATCTCCCCCCACACAGACACCTTCACATCCGTCCAGAAACACATCATCACAGAACCCTCCACACAGCCACATTCCCCCCACACAGACTTTCACATCCCCCCCACACACAAACACTCACATTCACCAACACAGTCTCACACCACTCCAACACACACCCTCACATCCCCTCCACACATACACACACACACCACCACCCCACACAGACACACCCTCACTTCCCCCACATACAAACCCTCACATTCCCCACACACACGCTAACATTCCCCCCACATGCACCCTCGCATTCCCCCACACGTACCCTCAACCCCCAACACACACCCTCACACTGCCCCCCCTATACACACCCTCACATGGCACCCCCACATGCACCCTCACATCACCCGCCACACACACCCACAAATACGCCCACACAAACAACCCTCACATCCCTCCCACGGACGCACCCTCAGCCCCCCGATACATACCCTCACACCCCACCCAACTTCACATCTCCCACACACGCTCACATCCTCTCCACACACACCCTCACATCCACCCAACACAGACTCACACCAACCCCCAAACGCACAACCTCACATTTCCCCCACACACAGACACCTTCACATCCGGCCCGAAACAGACCGTCACAGCCCCAAACACTCTGACATTCCCACACACTCACACCTTCACCTTCCCCCCCACACACCCTCACGTCCCCCCCTTCACACACCCTCACATCCCCCCCCCACACACACCCACACATTCCCCCCCACACAAACCCCTCCCCCCCCACACACACAGACTCTCAGCCTTTTTGCGGATTCTGTTCCCAGGAGATGTCGATGTTTTACACAAAGGCTTCTCTCCCGGTGACGACGCTGAAGATCATCTTATTTATGATTGTAAAGGTGTCCGACATTAATGGTCTGATTCTCCCTCCAGTTACAGTCACTCTGGATCCTGACTCAGCCCATCCCCGGCTCATCCTGTCTGAGGACCTGACCAGTGTGAGACGCGGAGACGAACTGCAGTCGCTCCCTGACTCCCCGAAGAGGTTTAGTAACTATCCCATTGTCCTGGGATCTGAGGGCTTCACATCGGGGAGACATTACTGGGAGGTGCAGGTGGGCAACAAGTCAAAGTGGACTGTGGGATTGGCCACAGAGTCTGTCAACAGGAAACAAGCAATCACATTGTCACCAGAGGATGGGGTCTGGGGGGTGAGGCTGGTGGGTGGGGACTGTTATGAGGTTCTGACGTCACCCCCCACCCGCCTGTCCCTGACAGTGAGCACCGGGAAGATCGGGGTTTACATGGACTATGAGGAGGGACAGGTGTCATTTTACAACGCTGACAACATGTCTCATCTCCACACTTTCACCCAAACTTTCACTGAGAAACTTTATCCTCTGTTCAATCCCTGGTTTGGTTCTGAGCCTCTGACAATCTGCCGGTGACAGGTTAATGAGGAGGACAATTTGACTATTATTTCCATGAGGTTTGGATAGTGCCGAGTGTTTGATTCTGTACTTCTCTCTCAGTTTTGAGCTGAGTTTGTGACGGGAAGTGAAGGGCGGGGCTGAGCGGAGTCTCCCTGAGAGACGTCAGCTCCACATTGTATCCCGAACCGGGAGAGCCGTCTGTGGTCAGCGACACTGAGCTGCTGACACTGACACTGTGCCACAACACGGCACCTGCACATTCCAGTGCCAATACAGTAAACCCCGACTTACAGGACTCCGGGTGTCCGGGATACACAACTGGACCAACCGGGATCCACAACAAATATAGTTGTAAAATTTCCGTGAGCCCTCCCTGTGCAGCGTCCCACAGGGTCAGCTCTCCTGTCACACTGAGCAGCCGCACCGTCCTCACTGGCCTTCACGCTCTGAGACAGGGATATATATCGCTGATATCTTTCTCTCCAGCAATGCCCAGTCTCACAGTCGGGGCTGTGCTCAGAATCTCACTGAAATCTCCCAAATCACTTTTATATCTATAAACAGGTGCCGTGTTGTTCCCCAGTGAGCGGCCGCGTCTCACTGGGTATAAACACTGTGTGTTTTCAGTGACAGCTTTTATAATCCGTAACATTTCTCACTCACTGTAACAATCTTTAACCCTCACTAAACCGAGGTCCCGTCTGTGACTGTTCAACTGGATATTAATATCCAAAATATTGTCGTTCACTTACAAAATACTCGAACAATTTACAATAAATTTGTTTTGATATTATTTTATGTCCAATGATTGAACACAATCTGCACACACTCCTCATTCTCTGATACACACTCTAACCCTCACCCCGATACACACACCCTTACCCTCACCCCCTGATACACACACCCCTAACCCTCACCCCATGATACACACACCATTGACCCTCACCCCGACACACACACCCCTAACCCTCACCCCCTGACAAACACACCCTTAACCCTCACCCTCTGATACACACACCCTATCCCTCACCCCCTGATACACACACCCCTATCCCTCACCCCCCGATACACACACCCCTAAACCCTCACCCCCTGACACACACCAAGAACAACAAATTATATTTTCATAGCGCATTTCACGTCAGGACATCTCAAGGGGCTGTGATGTTAGGAATGCCAACCCGAGCTGGTGGTAGGGATCAGGAAGTGACGTCCGGCAATGAGTTCGCTGGGGATTTTGAAATGGCGCCTCCGCGCCAGAAGCTGCCGAACCTTCGCCTCACTGGTCCCTCTCCACCACTCGTTCCTCCACCTGTGGCCTCAGTGGTCTCTCCCATCTGTTGTACAGATGGGAGATTTGAAATTTCTTGCCCCGCCAGTGCCCGCCCACGGTCAACCTCACCCGGCTTTCATCGGCCAAACCTTCAACCCTCCCCGATCACATCTTCCGCTGTTTACCGTGGTTTCCCGTTTCCCGAGGCCCTGCCATTCACTGACTCATGAGCACGAGCACCATGTGTTGGGACCTTTGGAAGGACTGTCTGTGGTCCCCCTCAGGACTCAGGACTTTCCCCTCCCAGCTCCCCTTAAACAGGTGATGGTAATAGATTGGGGGGTGGTGCGGGGCTGAGCCCCTCTAACCTTCATCACCCGCCATCTAAGCACAACTACAGGTTAAACAAACTTCACTTGTTTTATCTTATTAATCCTTCTTTTACCTTTGTGATCGCTTTTGATGACTATATTCATTTTAATACCTTTCATCTGTTTACTTAGTTGAACAATGAAACACCAGATACCATTATTAATAATGCAATTGATACAGCGCCTAATAATGTCTTCGAGACATCTCAAAGCGCTTCACAGAATATACTGTAAAGTTGATTGTGTATATATTTTCAACCACCAAGGCGCACAGCAGTGTCCCACCAACAGTTGGGTTTCAAATTATTTCATTATTATTGAAATAATTGTGTTTCAATCCTAATCAGATCGGTTTGTGTATGAAAAATAAAATATTTGAAACTCCTTCAACAATATTAAATTCCAATTTATAATAATAACGAGCTGTGCCCATTACAGCTTTGCAACCAAAGGATCCGATATGGAATGGAGATTTCAGGGACAGCATTGACAAACCATTTAACATACCATAAGCACTGTGTGTACACCTTAAGCAAAACTGCCATACATGTGCAATGGGTCACAGCTCATGAACGAAAGAAGATGGTACCCAAGCTATGCCAACCAAAGCGGTTTACAGTGTGATCCAGCAGGTCCTCGAGTTATTGCAAGGTTTCCGTGGAGACAATATTTGCAGTTTTTCCTTCTTCGGCCACAATGTACAGGGTTTGAGATCATACCTTTCTGTGTTGAAGTCCAACTCTGCTGTTCTTTGTTCTTCAGTTTTGTTTAATTCGCCTTCTCTCTTTTCATAGCATTTTTATTTGTCCTTGAAAGGCTTGATCTTCGCTTCGGCATCTTTTAAGATTAAGAAAATTATTTGGAGGACTCCTGTTGGGAGGAATGAGTGAGAAGACTCAGTGGGAGGAGTCCTTGTTCAGAGGACTCCTGTGGGAGGACTTATGTTTGGGAGGATTTCTTGTTGGGAGGACACCTTTTGCTAATTTATTGCCGAATATAGAATGGTGTGTGATTTTGTTGCAGAATAGTGTGAATACCCCATATTTTGGTCATTCAGAACTCTGCAGCTCGTGTACTGTCCCGCACCAGGCTTCGCGATCACATCACTCCCACCCTCGCTCGCCTCCACTGGCTCCCCATCCCCCAGAGGATTGATTTCAAGATCCTCATCCTCACCTACAAGGCCATTCACGGCCTTGCTCCCTCCTACCTCTCCAACCTACTATCCCCTACCTACCTGCCCGTACCCTCCGTTCCTCTGGCTCCGGTCTGCTCCACGTCCCCCGCCTCAACCGCCCTACTATCGGTGGTCGGGCCTTCAGCCTCTCAGCCCCCAGGCTCTGGAACTCTATCCCCCAGTGCCTTCGCCTTGCTTCCTCCCTTTCCTCCTTCAAGGCCGGTCTCAAAACCTTTCTCTTTGCCGTGCCTTCAGCTCCCCTCTCGACTCTCTTCCTCCTCCTCGCTCCCTCCCTTCCCTCCCCTCACCCTGACCATTTCCCCCCTCCTCTCTCCCTCCCTTCCCTCCCCTCACCCTGACCATTTCCCCCTGCTCGGGTCATGACCCAACTGTGCAGCGCCTTGGGACGTCCTCCTGACGTGAAAGGCGCTCTATAAATGGAATCTTGTTGTTGTTTGGTGCTTAAGCTCATCAACAACAGGAGATCCCCGAAAAAAATATACCCATGACACTCCACACTGCAAGAACTTTCCAATGAGGTATAAATCATGTTAATCGGTTATTGTGTTTTTAGCAGACAAACAAATAGACATTTTTTCTATATTAGTTCAGATAATAATCCTTGCATTTGATTTAGCACTTCATCACAGCTTTGAGGCGTCTCAAAGTGCTTCACAGGATACAATGTAAAGTGAATTGACTGAAAAATAAAATATTTTAAACTCCAGCAGTAACACTTTATTACAGACAGAGAAATAGATTCACCTTTTCCTCGTTTCTCCTGATGGCTGTTGTGGTGTAATTTGAGGAATAGAATCATTTGCTGAAAGTTACTGTGGTTTAAAATGACAGTGAAGCCACACACAGCGTTAAATACATAAACCTGCAGTACCGCGTTACTGCCAACAGATGGTGGTGTTGCACTGGGAAACTTCACCCCAATGTTCACAGTAAAACAACAATAATAATCATAATAATAATATTTGAGAAGTGCCTTTTCATATCAGGAGAACATCTCAAAGCTCTTCACAGGATTCACTGTAAACATATGAGCTGAGAAGTTACAGGACATAGTTACACAGTGAACCTCACATCAGTATAATTGCTGACGTCACACCTGAACCCGAGTAAATTCACCTTTTCCTCGTGTCTCCTGATGGATGTTGTGATGTGATTTGAGGAACAGAGTCATTTGCTGAGGCTTAAAAGGACAGTGAGGCCGAGCGTATACAGTGGAAGCCATTTAAGACGGACACGCCAGGGCCGGGCATTTTGTCTGAATTAAGAGGGGCCCTGAAGTTAACTGGTTTCAATGCATTAAATCTCACCCGGTTTTCTTCACCCAATTACTGCAGCAACAAACTACATTTGTACAGCGGCTTTCACGTCAGGAGGAAATTGAACCTTTTTGATTGAAAACTTCTCTCAAGTCGGACTGCACAAGATCAGTGCGGCGTCTCTCTCTCTGCTGCTCACAACGATGTCATGAAGTGCACTCTAACACTTGTCATAGAGTCCGCTCTTTAGTACGAAGCTTTCTGCCTCTCGCAGGCCAGTCAGAGCTGTGCCGGCCATCACAGATGGGGCCTCGTTCTCCTCAGAGTTGCTGTCGCTGTCGTTCACGACTAGTGGCCCCTCGGCGACCACAGCTTCAGCCACGATGGCCTCTTGGTCCTGGGGATCACGGTAGAGTAGATCAGCGTCAATGTCCAGGAACTGGTCAGTGATCTGCCTCTCGCCCTCGGCCTCTGCGCTTGTCCTCCCCTCAGCCTCAGTGCAGGGAGCAGCGTCACCAGTCACAAACCCGGCATTTGCGAAGCAGTCGGATATCATCGCAGGCTTCATGCTCTCCCAGGCCCTGGCAACCATGCCGATGGCACCCAGAGGCTGATGTGTCTCACCAGCTCTCCCACGGTGGCATTGGGGGCTGATCACGTTGCCATCGATGGCGTCCAGTAGGCACTTTCGTAGCTGCTCGTGGTAGGAGAGCTTCAGGTTTCGGATGATCCCTTGACCCATGATCAGAGTGGTGTCCGGGGGAATCAGTTCCAGGCAGATGTTCTTGAGAGTTGGAATGGTCAGGTGACATGGTGCACTGTCCACAAAAGCAAGAATCTTACGCCCCTGCTCAACCAGCTCAGTGTCCCACTGCGTCAGCCATTCCTTAAAGATCCCTCTCATCATCCACGCCATCTTGTTGGCCTTATAGATGATGGGTAGAACAGTAAGGTCAACCCCCTTCATACAGCGAGGGCGTTGGCTCTTCCCGATGACCAGCGGTTTGTGCTGGTCACTGCCGGTCATGTTGGCGCAGGCCATCAGTGCAATGCTGTCCATCGCCCTCTTCACACCGTTCAGCGCCGTCTGGTGAAAATACAATGAGCCGTCAGGTCCTGGACGGTAGTACAGCCCCATTTCCTTTGCGTTGTAGATGTCATTGGCAGCATAGGAAGAGAGCAGCACACTGCTGGTGTCAGCGCCCTCTGGGCAGTGCTCTTTAGCTCTCTGGGAAGCAGCCTGTGTGTGATGTTGTTACGTGCCTTCCAGCGGCTAAACCAGCCGTCAGTCACCGTGAAGCCCGGCTTCTAGAGGTCACGTGCCAGGCTCTCTGCTTTGGCTTTGAGGATGGGCCCATTGAGCAGCTGCCCCTCAGTGGACGCCCTTTGGAACCACAGGAGATCGTGCTCCACCTGGGGATCTTTGCCTTTGCGATCCCTCTTCTTATGAGGAGGCCGCTGTGTGGCACAGCTTCATCTCACTGGCGATGATGTCACCCAGTGTCGACTTCTTGACACCGAATCTTCTGGTCAGTTCCTGTACCGGATTCCCTTATGTCTCCATCTTGACTCTGTCTAACACTTCTGTCTTCTCCAAGAGCGTCCGAGACATTTTCTTCGACATGATGGCTGTTTATCACGCGCTGTGTGAGAGGGTGACATGAGTTAATGATAAAAAATAATAATCTGTGTATTTGCTACAGCGCCTGATCACAGTGTTGAGATGTCTCAAAGCACTTCACAGGCAGTGAAGGCGGTGGATAGTGAAACCTGTGTTAGAGAAAGAGCAACATTTTGGCGGGTGATGTGAATAGGGGAGCTGGCGGGGGAGGGTTTGGGGGAAAACGACTGTCAAGTTTAAGTGATGAGAATTAATAATAATATTTCTTGCATTTGATACAGCCCTTATCATGTCTTTGAGACATTTCAAGGAGCTTCACAGTATAAACTGTGAAGTCAATTGACTGTATTTCGTGGGCAGAGTATGACAGCCAATTGCACACAACAGTGACCCACAAACACTCTTGGATTGAGTGACCATATTATTTCTTTTTTAATTCAATTGGGAAGGATGTGGATGAGGGAAGTGAGAGAAGGGGGTAGGGGTTACCTTTTGGAGGCAGGGGAGGCAGGCCTTGGGGTGCGCTGATGATGGGGCAGTCGGGGTGGCTGCTCTGGGACAATCATTGACAAGTGTTGCGGTGCTCCGGGTGGAGGAGGCCCAGGGCTGGAGCAGAGGGAAGTCTGTGGAAGGGCCCAGGATAGAGAGCAGGTGAGGAGGGTGACAGGAGACAAGAACTGAATGTAATAATATTTCTTGCATTTGATATAGCACCTTATCACATCTTTCAGATGTCACAAAGGGCTTCAGACATTTTGTACATTACTTTACACAATATTCTGTGAAGCACTTTGGGACGTCTTCCCGACGTGAAAGATGCTGTATCAAATGCAAGCATTATTATTATTACTGTGTAAAGTGAATTGACTGTGTATTTTGTGGGAGAAACGTGGCAACCAATTGCACACAGAGGTGTCCCACAAACAGTCATGGATTCAGTGTCCAAATTCTTTTTTTAAGGGATTATTCCCCCAGAATGCGATTAAAACTGGTTCCTATTGACTGCTTGGTAAACAGAGGCATGTGCAGTGAGGGAAGTTGCCTAAGGTTTCGCCCCACTCGGGTATCGAACACGTGCTCGACAAGAGCTCAATCTGATATGTAATGTAGAGACAGAGAGAGAGAATAATAGTAACAATGATCCATACATTTGATATAACCACTTAACACTTATTCAACACATCACAAAGGGCTTCACAGGATACACTCTAAAGCAATGTGACTGTATATTTTGTGGGCAAAGAGCAGCAGCCGATTGTGCACAGCAGTGTCCCCACAAACAGCCATGGATTGAAGCAACTAAATTATTATTGTTGTTGTAGGGATTAATTCCCCCGGAAAAGTGACACGGCAATCGACGAACAACTGAGTGAAGTGAGAGAGAGGGAGTGAGAGAGAGTCAGAGAGAGGGAGTGAGAGTCAGAGAGAGAGTGAGAGAGAGTCAGAGAGAGAAGGGAGTGAGAAAGAGGGCGGGACAGAGAGGGCGGGGAAGGGGAAGGAGATGACAGGAAACAGGTAATAAACAGTAACTTGTTGACTTTCCTGTTGTTTTGGGGGAAATGACTGGTTCCTTCCTGTGCACCGGAAGCTGTCAATGCACAACCCAACCGGGACCTGGCGCTTTGTGTCCGAATTAACCGGTGTCCAACGTTACCCGAATACCGCGGCCGCCATTGTGTGCTGTTATATCCCGCGGTGACGCTGTGTCACCAACGGGTGGCGCTGCCTCGTGTGGTATGTGGTTCGATGCCGCGGTGACGCTGTGTCACCAACAGGTGGCGCTGCAGCCACTCCGCACTGTCAGTGATACACCGCCACCATCACAGAGATAGGGCGCTTTCACCCGCGCAGTGCATTGTGGCTCCCGGGCACCGCCATTGCTGCTGTTCCTTCTGCTCAGTGTCAGCGACACAAACCCCCGCACAGGCGGCGCTTCCTCTCGTCCCCGTCTCACCCCCTCCCTCTGGGGAAATGTCATCATTGTTATTATTATTACCTTCTGATCCGGGCCCAAGGGGAGGGTCACAGCCACAAACCTCCCAAACAAGTGGCTTCTGCTGATCTCTGGGTCTGGACACAGCCCCAAAGCTGAGAGTGGCAGCAGTTTGTGGGAGTGAGCGGTGGAGGGGACACGGCTGCAGAGAGCAGCACCGGAGCTCAGCGGAGGGTCTCACTTGCCCCGTTTGCCCGGACCTGGTCAAGGGTCCGGTTTCTCTGGTTTGCGGCCACAGCTTCTGCCGCTCGTGTCTCGCAGGGCTTTGGGAGAGGCCGGAGGCTCACTCCTGCCCGGAGTGGCGCCAGGTGTGTCCGGGAGGGGAGCTGAGAGCAGGTCGACCAATGGATAATTTGGCTGAAAAAGCTCAAAATCTCAGTCTGGATCCGAAACGGGGAGAAAGGGAACACCGTTGTGACGATCATCGGGAAGAGCTGAAGCTGTTCTGTGAGACGGATAAGAAATTGATCTGTGAGATGTGTCTCATTTACGCTGAGGAACAGAATCACAAATCACTCAGTGATGTCCATAGACAAAGCTGCTGAGATCTACAAAGGTACACAAGGAGCGGACTTTATAATGTGACTGCAATTCTCTCTCTCTTTCTTGAGCCGAGTGTCTGACACACACGGAAACTATTGCTGTGTTTAAGAGAATCCAAAGCAGGTGGTGATTGAGATATAAGGGAGAAACTATTTCCACTGGTGGGTGGGTCGTAACCCGAGGATTTATAACAGTTAAAAGAAACAGAGGAGAGGTTTTTCCGCACAGCGTTTTTAGTGTCTGGAATGCATTGCCTGAAAGGATGGAAGAAGCCGATTCAATAACAACTTTCAAGAGAGAAGCAGATAATTATTTGGGGAGGACAAGTTTGCAGGGCTATGGGGAGAGAGCGGGGGAGTGGGAGTGATTGGGAAAGCTCTTCTCAAAGAGCCGACACAGACACAATGTACCAAAAGGCCTCCTTCTGTGCTGTATAATTCTATGATTCTATGATATGTTAACTGCACATGGAATATTGACCTGTGTCCCCGGAGGGACGCACTCTGTTTACAAATCTGTTGACTATTTGACACAGGCCGACAAGAGCCAAGGCTTGTGTATCCCAGAGTATAAGTCGGGGTATCTATTGAAGTTTAACCAACTAAACGGCATAACCGGCCATTGAGAGCGCTATCTGTCAGACTTCCCGCTGTGTGTTCTCTCTGGTCACATTGACACAGTTAACAATGTGTTTGTTTTGGTTAATTTCCATTTTGATTACAGGAGAAACTGAAATCGTATTTCAACTTGGGTCTGAAGAGAAAGGATGTTGTTTTTCGAGCTTAGTTTGGGCTAAAAAGAGAAGATTTCTGCCTTGAAAGTAAGTTGCGTGTGATAAGAGTCAGCACTCTCACCTCTGAGCCAGAAGATTGTGGAATCCATCCCCACTACGGGCTGTCAGTCGTGTCTCTCTCTTTACTGTGTGATGTCTGGGCTCTCAGTCATGTCTCTCTATTTACCGTGTGATGTCTGGACTCTCAGTCATGTCTCTCTATTCACCGTGTGATGTCTGGGCTCAGTCGTGTTTCTCTATTTACCGTGTGATGTCTGGGCTCAGTCGTGTCTCTCTCTTTACCGTGTGATGTCTGGGCTCAGTCCTGTCTCTCTCTTTACCGTGTGATGTCTGGGGTCTCAGACGTGTCTCTCTCTTTACTGCGTGATGTCTGGAGTCTCAGTCGTGTCTCTCTCTTTAACGTGTCCCGTTGTGATGTCTGACGCCTCACTTTACAGGAACAGGCGAGGAGTCTGCAGAACGACGTCAGGGCTGAGTTTGCCGAAATGCACCAGAGCCTCAGTGACACGGAGCAGTGTGTAATGCGAGAGCTCAGAGAGTGAGAGGAGGAAATGTTATAGGGTTTGAAGAGGCGTTAAAATCTATAGACCCAGAATTAGTAACGTTACAGCGGCAAATAGATGAACAGGTCATGGGGTCCTTTCTGAGGGTAAGAAAAGGAGATTGTTATTATTTATGTAATAATAGTCCTTACATTTTATACAGCGCCTTTAATTTCCTTTTAATGTCTTAAAGTGATTCACAGTAAAATGTAGTGACTGTGTATTTTATAGACAAACACAACAACCAATTTGCACAGAAAGTGCCCCACAAACAGCAATGAAGTGAATGAGCAATTGTTTTTGGGAGTAACTCCCTTCACGTTTCCAGTCGTGTCCGGGATCTTTATCGTCCACCTGAACAGGCGCAACACCACAGGTTAACGTGTCATCCAAAGGACAGCCCTCAGCTCTGCAAAACTAACAACGTAACAGAGCTCAGCCCTTACACTTCCCTACAAAACACACAGTCACTACACTTTACGGTGAATCCAGTGAAGTGTTTGAGACGTCCTCCCAATGTGAAAGGCTCTGTACCAAATGCAAAGCTCCTTCTTCTCACCTTGTGTAAAGCTCCCTGAGCGAGTCACCGTGTGGGAGGTTGTTCCGCACGCGGAGGGTTAGCTGCTGTGACTCTGACCTCTCGGTGTTTGTTTCATTTCAGGAGGAAGATTCTCGGAAGATCAGGTCTGACGTTCTCTTCAAACAAACTGTTTCACTCATTAATGTCAAAGCAGTAACCACGGGATCCACTCTGCTGCCTGTGCCCTTTCTACTGCCACCCCCTCCCCAGCTCCCTGTGTCCCCGACCGGCCCCACCCATCCCTCCCTCACTTTTAATGGCCTCCAAGACCTTGATCCTCCTGACCTCAGTGACCTATTAACACTATACCAACCTGTCTGCTCCACCTGCTCCATGTCCACAGCCCTACCCACCCCACCACTGGTGGTCGGGGTCTCTGCTTTTCTGCTCCAGCTTCTGGAACTCCAAACCAGAACCCCCCATCTCCCTCCTCACCTGTTTGTGTGCAATGAAGTGTTTTGGTACGACCATCTAACGTGAAAGCTCTTTATGAGTGTAAATTGTATAACAAGAATCATAATAATAATAATAATCCTTACAACTGGAATAGCAGCTTTCACTACGGGATGACATCCCGGGATACACTGCAGTGACTGTGTATTTTGTGGGAGAACAAAACACATTGTGTCGTATTACTCTTAAGGTAAAATCTTGTGACGTTCTTTGAGATATTTCGATGGTGTGATTTAGCCCGACATCAAAAACAAGGGTTATTATGGTCTGGGCGGGAGCGAGATGTATCCAGGGGTGATGGGGTTACATTTTATAGGCCGCTTCTCTGGAACGTGGGAAATTTGGGTGCGTGTCAATCTGCCGAGCTTGGCAGCGTGATCTTGTCTGAGGTTTTCACCTTTACTTGGCAATGGCATTGCGGGTAAAGTGGTGTGTTCAGCCAAGATACGGAAATATACAAATTGGGTAAATGTGGGGATAATTGCAAGTTGTGTAAAGTGTGAAAATTGCACAAATGCACACCGTCGCATTACATAATTGTTTGAATGAGGAACCGACTGGAGAAACCATATCAATGAATCACCTAATTCACTACAAATGTCACTGACAGTGCTTTCAGCCACTGTGCCCCGAAGCTCTGGATTCCCTCCCTCAATCCCTCCGCCCATTGCCCCCTCCCTCCACACTTTCAAATCCCATCCAAAGACCTTACATTTTGATTGTGTTCACTGTCACCTCTCCCCTCCCTCTACCCCTGGATCGGGGTCAGACTCCCCTCTGTCAAGCGCTCTGGGACGCTGCCCCGCGTGAAGGACGCGATATAAATGCAAGTTGTTGAATATAAACTCAAGTCTAATAAGTGGAGACATTGCTATATGGGGCGGTGCTGCCGCCATCTGGTGGTGACAAGATGAACGGCAGTGGGTTCCAGGACCAACATCTGTCACTGAAGCACTCGCCCAGTCAGTCATCGGGTCCTTTTCCATGTGGTTTAACGATTCTTTTCACCTCTGTTGTTTCAGACACTCTTCTAAGGGCTTTACTAACGGTTCGACTATTTCTCTTCGACTTGTTTTATATTCTCCCTTCATCAGTCCTCTATCACCTGACAGTATTTCTCTACAATGTTGTCAGTCTCCGAATGTTTGCATTTTTCTGGTGTTGGTGGACACAAAGTGCAGACAGTGGGAAAGGTAAGATTGAAGCCGGACAAAGCCAAACCCCCATGACGGTGGGGATGAGAGTAGAGACAATGATAGACAGCATCAGCTCAGGTAAACGTCTCACATCTTCTGATGTTTAAAATGTGAATGATGTACATTTACTGATGCAAAAGCTGACAGTCTGTCATGAACAAGGAATGTCTCTGAGGGATTCTGCCTGAATATGACAAAGCTGTGCATCAGCCCGGCTCAGTCTGTAACACTCTCACACACACCAGGACTTTCAGCTCACAGTCTTCAGTGACCCTCTGGTACAGAGCTGAGGGAGTTAATATAAGGTCCTCTCTGTGCCTATTCAGGTGAATATAAAGATCTCACACTACTAATGAATAGAGAACTGTCTCTGTTACAAGAATCAAATCACTAAAGCTGGTCTGTCAGGGCTGACAGATTCTCCCATTCTGTCCTGAGGAGCAGTCGCTGCCCACACACTGTCTGTGCCCCAACCGCACTCCCGCCTGCAACTGTCCTGCTCCTCGAGCCCCTCACTCCTCTTTGTGTAATGTTTCTGTCTCTCTCAGCTCCGGCCTCTCCGACTCTGGATCCTGATACCAGGACTCTGAGTATTTGGAATTCAGAGCGAGGAAGATTGGGATCGACACCAAAATAAGTTTTGAAAAGGTTTCCGTGGGCCTTCGCTGTGTATCCTCCCGTGGGCTCCCCTCTCCTGTCACACTGAGCAGCCTCACCATCCTCACTGGCCGTCACAGGGGCCGGGGATACCCACTGTCACTCAGATTGTTTGAATCACTGATTCACTATCTCCTGTTCCTGGGATTCAAACAATTACAAATTATTGGTGTTTTACAATAAAGCAGTAAATGCCGGGACCGACATTGGAATGACACTCAGCTGGAAATTCCGGCTCTCCAGACGGGATCTCCCCCATTGGTCCGGCCTCGAGCCGGGGGTTCAGTGTAATGAGCCACTGTAGCCGCCAGACAGCACAATCAGCACCAGCACCGCAACAGCTCGTCTGGATTAACATCATTCAGAGCATCAGAGGAACCTGACACCCAATGTGTGGGAGCAAAACGTGAGCCATCTTTGTAAAGCTCATCGCCAGCTCGTCTCTGTGCTCGTGTTGGGAGAATCTGACTTGCCATCCAGTGTGTGAGCTCACACGCTCTGAGACAGGGATATATATCGCTGATATCTTTCTCTCCAGCAATGCCCAGTCTCATAGTCGGGGCTGTGCTCAGCATAAGAGAGAGAATCCATCTTACTGCAATTATCAATGCAACGAGCATTATGATTTGAACAATTGTGATAAAAGCCGTAACAGAGAGTGCTGTCCAGCATTGCAAACTGTCTGCCATCATCTGGGTGTTCCATCCAAATGTTGGCTTGAGTGGTTCAGCCCCAGGTGGTCCTGTTGTAAGATGTTCAGATGTTTCTGTGAGGTGAATTCCCAGCCCAGTGTAGCCCGCAAGTTTGTGGATGGCAAACGGATATGATGTCCGAAGTGGGCGATTGCCTCCAATTCCTCTCGGTATAGGTCCGAGTAAAGCTACACACGAGTGGAGTTACGTATGATGAAGGGATAGAGAATTTGTTCCCCAATCTGTACTTCGAAATGTAGGGTAAAGCATCCCATAGGCCTGGTCAGGGGGCAATTTTATCTGCCATACTGGAAGGAAGTTTCAGTGGTGACATAACAATAAACAGCTTGACCGCGGTATATGTACTCGGTACAAACCCAATGGGAAGTCAGAGAAAGTTGGCATCAAGATGACACTTGTCTAATCATGATGCCGCAGGTGGATATCTTCCGTGGGGTGGGGCAGGCCCATTTCTGCTGCTTTAAAACACAATCGGTAAGGTCGACCCCTTACCGGGTATCATATACAATGGTAACAAAACCAGGTGCAGTTATATACTGTACCCAATGGCCCTGCCTGATTGCTCCTAAAGGATGGAGTTGGTACAGTGTCTCCCTGTCCCTGTTCACTGGCACCATTCTCACCCCTTCAAAAACAGCCATTGTCACTCCTATCCTTAAAATCCCTCTCGGATCTCAAATTACCTTTCCATCTCCAACCTGCTTTTCCATTCCAATGTCCTGGAATGAGTTTTTGCTACCCTGTGTCACTCTCTCCGCTCCCGCCACTCCCTTCGCGAGTACCCCCAATCAGGTTTCTGTGCTGCCCACAGCGCAGAAACAGCTTTGCTGAAAGTGAATAATGTCATTTTGTCCATCTGTGTCCAGGGCTCCCTCTGCCTCCTTCTCCTCCATGACCTCTCTGCTGTCTTTCAAACTGTTGACTGCTCTATCCTTTTGTACCACCTCCCCAGTCACCACACTTGCACTGGCTGCCTGTCCCAGAGAGGATCAACTTCAAGATCCTCACTCTTGTCTTCAAATCCCTCCACTCCTCTGCACCCCCCGACCTCTCTGACCTCCTCTCTCCTCACAGCAGTGCCCATTGCCTTCGTTCCAAGGAGGGTCTGGCCTACTCCTTGTCCCCTGAGCCCTCCTCTCCACCCTCGGTGGCTGTGCCTTCAGCCACTATGCCCTGAGACCCTGGAACTCCCTTCCTCACTTCCTTTGCCTCGACCCCTCTCTTCCTATTTTCAGATCTCGGCTGAAGACTTTTCTTTTTGACCACGCCTTTGGTCACCTTCCTTCCCCTCCCCCGGCTCATCACCGGGATCCGTTTCTTTGTAGTGCTCTGAGACGCCGTCCGGTGTGGAGGCCGCCATATAAATTCAAGTTGTTGTTGTTGAGTCCTACTTGACTAAACTGCCACAATCTCCCTCTGGAAACTGGTTCTCCTCACCTGTGGGGTACTCCAAGGCTCCATTATTGGCCCCTTTCTTTTATCACTGACACGTTCCGTCTCAGATATGGGGTCGACTTCCACATATATGCGGATGACACCCAAATCTACTTTCTTCCTCCAGAATGCCCTGAGGCTCTGGAACTCTATCCCCCCAATCCCTCTTCCTTGCCCTCTCGCTCAATTTCAAATCCCACCTAAAGGCATTCCTTTTTGATTGTGCTTACAGTCACCTCTCCCCTTCGCTTCGGGTGGGACCTCTACACACTATCTAATACTTTCCCAAATGAGGTGTCCCTCCAGGGAGAGAGTCTGCATTCCAACAATCTATCTCTGGGGTTTCTATGTGCAGAGGGGATGTGTGGGATCCTCAGATTGGTTTGGATACTCTCAAGTACGGTGATGGTTGGGGCCAATAGAACATTGTGGAAATATTTGCCCCAAATTGTGGGCTTTTAACTGAGCACATTTTGGATAAAAGTGCGAGGAGTTGATTGATGTTATTGAGAGGTACATTTTACTGCTAAACTATAATTTTTCACGTCATTGATTAGCAATTAAACATAAAGAAATATCACAGATTAGATTGTTGTAAAATCAATTATTAATGCTTTCTTTAATATAAACTGCGGGAACGACACAGCGCAACGCGAAGGGCTGAATGGCGGTTTCCACTCCGCGCTCCGTGTGAAGGCCTCAAAACAACAGCTTTGCTCACAAAGCTCATCAGTGTCCTGACTGTGGATTACAGGGGTCACCACCTCCTCTCTCTCAGGGTCACACCCCCAACACACACACACT